CATCGTCTCTTTCCTCCTCTCTGTCTACTCCGATTACTTAACATCCGCCCACCGCCTCAGGTGGATTACGTTGTCTAAGATAACCCTAGGAGGGAGGCTGCATTAGGGTTTTTGCAAAGGATGTCGTCGGAGAAGGAGGGAGAGGAAGTCGTCGTGGGTGTTCTGCGGTGTTATGTGGTGGTTCAATGATGACGATGTTGCTCACAGAGGTTCCATATGCTCCCGCTACCCAACACAAACAACATCGACCCTCCTCTACCGCTGCCATCTCCATTGTGGTTTTCAGCCTCCTCTACTGCTGCCATCTCCACTATCTAAAAAGCCCCTTCGGCACCCCCCAAGCATCTTCCATCGATAGAGATTTAGATTAAGTTAATGCTGGAAGTGATCGATCTGAAAATTGGGTCTACTTCAGCGGGTTTTGTAAGTTGAATCAAATCGATTAAGCCAACTGGAGGATAAGCTATTGGAGGATAACTGTAAACCTATGGTGATTACTTACACAATTTTGATCGAGGCCGCCATTTTTGACGGTGGGATTACTGAAGCAATGAAGCTTCTTGATGAAATGTTGTCTAGACGTCTTCAATCCGATATGAATGTGATTTAGGGATTTTTTAAGTGATTTGAATAGAAAAGGCGGTGGCAGTAGGTAACCCCGAATGTCTTGGTGTTCGGAAAAACGGCTCCAACTCCGGTGGGGAGTTCTTGGTCGTAAATGAAGAAGGAGGAGGGGGTGGAGTTTGGAGAGAGAGAGAGAGAGGTCATTTCACTATTCACAGGGACAAAAAACGCAACGAAACTAGCTCAAAAGGACCATCAATCCAAAAAAGTCGTGGTTTGGACTAAAACAAAAAAAAATGCATACCACATGGACTATTTTTACGGTTTTTGTCTATTTTAAAATTGAAGTATATATTTTGATCCAAAAACATTACAAAAATTAATCCTTTAAGTCGAACTAAAAAAGGTTCATTCGAGACATTTCGAGTTCCACAATCGGACCTCAAATCAATTTTTGAATCCCTACAACAATCTTCCATTTTCTCAAAAACTCCCATCGATCTATATCGCCATTACCGATGCAGAACCCAATCACTCGCAGTTTGAACAAGCTTTGGAACGGGGTAGCAACAACTGTAGCAAGCCGGAGTATAACAAATCATCAATGGCGGTCGTACAGTGTAATCCCCATGGTGATAGAGCATTCATCGCGAGGAGAGAGAGCCTACGACATCTTCTCTCGACTCCTTAAAGAAAGGATTATCTGTATCAACGGCCCAATTTCCGATGACACATCACACGTCGTCGTAGCTCAGCTTCTCTACCTCGAATCCGAAAACCCTTCTAAACCCATCAACATGTACCTCAACTCCCCCGGCGGAGCCGTCACTGCAGGTAGGTTTTCAATTTTACTTTTTCACCTATGCAAAAATTAGGTTTTATCATCGTTTTCTCTGTGATCTAATTTAGGAAATGGCGAATTTGATGGTGTTAGGTCTTGCAATATACGATACAATGCAATACATTCGATCTCCGATCAATACAATATGTTTAGGCCAAGCTGCATCAATGGCTTCTTTGCTGTTGGCTGCTGGTGCAAAGGGTGAAAGGCGATCTCTTCCTAATGCCACCATCATGATTCATCAACCTTCTGGTGGATACAGCGGGCAGGCTAAAGACATGACGATTCACACGAAGCAGATTATTAGGGTTTGGGAGTCTTTGAATGGGCTTTATGCAAAGCATACTGGACAAAATGTTGATGTGATTCAGAAGAATATGGATAGGGATTGTTTTATGACTCCTGAAGAGGCGAAAGAGTTTGGGATTATAGATGAAGTGATGGATGAGAGGCCCTTGACTTTGGTTACTGATGCTGTTGGAAGTGAAGGGAAAGGAGTGAAATTGGATTGAATCGAATGCAGGAAGCGGATTTCTTTGAATGGTTATTGAATCTTGAGTATCACATGATAATACATACAAAAAAGGAAAAATGAATATCAGTGTAAGACAATTCGGCTGTTTAACATTACACTTTCATTTGTGTTATGGCTTAAACGACCCAATACTATCATCTTTGATTGTTGTCGGTGTCTAGCAAATGGAATGTCATTGTTCCTCTTTCAAGTTTCTTTTCATACTCATGTTTATATCCCACATACCAAAGCATATACACAATAGATGTATCTACCCAATCTTACATTAAAGCTGCAAAATCCTTCGAATAACGAGAAGACATGGATGAAAAATTACATGCCAATTGTTCCGCTACCAAATGATAGTAAAGCACTTGGTTGCACATGGATGTTTAAGATGATGGTTCGAACCATGGAACGCCATAAGCCCCACTTGGTGTCCAGAAGCTTTAATCAGCAAGAAGGCATTGACTTTCTTGATATGTATTCTCCCTGTACTAAATTAGTTTTCGTTAGGTTGCTCTTAGCCTTATTTAGGTTAGGTTGATCTTAGCATTATTTTGGCTATGTTTGACATACTAACTGAAAAGTTAGTTGTTAGTTGAAAACTAGCTTATAAAGAAAAAATAATAATAACGTTTGATAAAAACCAGCTGATAAGCTAACTGAAAAGTTCTTTAAACCTAAACAAGTTCTTTTTCTAGAAAAACCTTTTACGGAAGATGAAAATAAAAAATTTGTTTGGGAATGTGGTTTCTCGTTCATCAAACACTTTTGGGACATTTTGTTTGGGAATGTGGTTTCTTTTTCATCAAACACTTTTGGGACATTTTAAAAGATGATATTGGTGTGCTTACTAGTGATTTTGGTGCTTACAGGTTTATCCCTTTAGGATGCAATTCCTCTTTTATAACATTAATCCCTGTTAGAAATATGTTTCTATTTCTGTTGGTGATTTGGGATTAAAGCACTTGGAAATTATGAGATCGTGATTTACAGTTTCAAATCGAAATATTGGGGTGGTACTCCTAAATCCTCAATTGGATAATACTCAGAAGTTTGAGAACAATAAAGAGAATGAGAAGTTTTGTTTTGTCTGTTGAGTTCTTCAACGTAAAATACCATACCATTGAATTTGACCAAAAAATTACTTAAATATGTCAATTGGTTGAAAACCGTCACAAGACACTTGCAACGTTCAAAAAACTGACACAAAACGGGCTTTTAACCGCTGGACAATAAGTTTAACCGATGAATATCCACCTTTCAGTCGTCAAACCTGAAACAGAACAATTGTTTTAACCGTTGGATGTAATACTGACCAACACGTGTTTCGACGAAAGGTTGTTGTGATTTATGGTTGCGAAAACAAGTTCGTTGCGATTGTTTCAATGAATTGTTGCGATGCTATCCTATATGGATCATATCGATGTGAACCATCAATGATTATTTTGATGCGAAATGAATAGTATCATCCAACTCGATGCGAAAGTTCCAAAATGTTGTGTTACAAATAGTTGCGATCGATTGCAATTGAACAGTAACATACTATCGTTGCGAAAGAGCATTCGCATCCGGTATTTCGGAATCACATTCGCATATGATCACATTCACATCTCATTCGCATCTGATCGCATTCGCATCACTTCAAGTTACAAACTCAGTATTGGTCTGAAATCAACTATACTCTGAACTCAGTTTCGATTCAACACTTACTTATTCCGAAATTGTTTTTGTTCCAACTTCAAACCAATTCCGAAATCAATTTAGCCCTTAAAATATTGAATAAACTTAAACAAGTATGTACGCCACACATTCATTACTTGTTTAATATTCATGAAGATTAATTTTGATCAACAAGTCAATCCATTAAACTTATGTACACTTAGTGAAACAATTCACCAACAATCCAAAGGCGATTAAAGATTTTAGACTTATCAGTCTCATAGTCTCATAGGGGTAATGTATAAGATTATTGCAAAAACTCTTGCAAATCGTCTTGTTTTAGTCATAGGTTCTATTGTTCGGGTGGAACAGTCTACGCTTATGAAAGGGAGACAAGTCCTGGGTCGTTGTTGATGAATGAAGTTATTTCTCGGTGTAAAAAATTCAAAAAGAAAACCATGGTTTTTAAGGTGGACTTTGAAAAAGCTTACAATAATATCTCCTTTGTCATGGTGATGGAGTTTCTTGGATTTAGCTCTAATTGGATAATGTGGATCATTAATTGTCTTTCTTCTTGTCGATCATCTATTCTGGTTAATGGTAGCCCCATGGGTAGAGGTGGCAAATCGGACAATTGTATCGTATTTTTGTCTGCTACGACACGTCACGAAAATGTTTTATGTAAAACAACATAACATGACATATGTGTTTTTTTAACTAACAGGAAAACAAATCAATTAAAAAACGACAAACACGACAAAGATAACGTAAAATAACAATCAGTTTATTTAATTAATAGTTAATCATACATAACACGATAAACACAACAAATAAATGCTAAATCGTGTCAATTTCGTGTCGAATTTTGAACACAACACGGCACAACATCATGTTTTTACAATTGACACGAACACGAATTCAAAATTCAGTTGTGTCCCAATTTTGTTCCATGTCAAGAATTTTTGTCGTGTCGTGTCATGAATTGTCACATCTACCCATGGACAAGTTGTAGTTAGAGCACTGTTTACGACAAGGAGATCCCATATCTCATTTCCCTTCTCTTTTGGTTATGAAGGCGTTAAATGTTGCTAAGATGGATGTTGTCGATGCAAGATTGTTTTCTCCTGTGCAAGTGGGATCGCACGATGTTAATGTAAATAACTATTAATTGTTTCTTTAAAGTCTCTGGATTTCAAATTAATTTTCATAAGTGTAAGCTTTATGGGGTAGGTGTTACGGATTTAGAGACCCATGGCTTGAAGACTTTAGCTTGTGATTCTGATGTGATTCTTTATAGTATCTTGGATTCTAATTGCTTAAACATGTCTAGAATTACATATCTGTGTATCTTATTGTATCAAGTTAAGCTCTCTAATTATCCGGGTAGATGGGTTATATCATTTACGTTGTATATATATGTAATAACATATAATCAAAGGCAATGAGAAAGATCAGTTTCACTTCATTTCTTCTCTACAGTGAAAAATGGAGCAGAATTTGAAGAGTTGAGGCTCCAAAAAGAGCCATCCACATCCAAACAACCAGCACGCCACTTGATTTCATAACACCCCAAACCAAACCTACAAACATCAACCATACAACTCCCAAATCCCTGTTCTTCCCCATTAACTCTAAAACACACAATCGTTTCCACAATCTCCCTATCTTTATCATAACCACTAATCTTATCCCCATTATTCACATACTTCACTAGCTTTTCATTCAACTCCACTATCTTGTCATCATCATCATCCGTTTGACTTTTATCGCCTCTACTTTGACCAGGTAGCTCATACGACATTTTACATTGAAGTATGCAATAAAGTTTAGTCAACCGAGCCCTATCCTCTGGTGAAATGTCACACAACTGAAGACATAGATCTAGATGGAGGTGATACCCTGGCATCACACAGATCCTTCCACCATTTCCAGAGTCTCTATTCATGGCAAAAAGCTCACAAGAGACACATGGCTTTACACGAAACAAATACTTTGGAGTCCTTAAGGAAATTTTCAACCAATTCTTCACAGTATCTACTATAAACTCCAATCTATCATTGTTATCACACCTTCTTTTTGCTGCATTTAGACAGATCTTGATAATACTTGTTACTTCATACACGTTCTCCAAAGTTTTAGATTGTGGAACACATTGACCAAAAGAAGTTTCTAGAAGCAACATGAGCTCTTTACATGTCTCCCTGTCTATATTCCAAATCCGTGACATAAGGTCATGTATAAGCATAGCATCAAAGTTACTCTGCAACTTCTGTGAACCAATAATAATTAAGGCCAAGACTGAACAACTTAACGCGTGTAATGATATTATCATTCTACTTGTGTGATCCATGTCAATGAATGACGTGGCAAATAGATCATACTCATGTGCTACTTTCAATAAACGTTTAGATAGCTGTTCAAGAGGTTGAAAGGAAACAGTTAGAGTACCCAAGAGCTTAAAGATATGAGCTACAGTTTCCATAACTTTTGATCTTAGAGACAAAAACTGGATATGGAAGTAGTGTTGATGACTTGGCATCACACCATTGGTAGACAGTATGTTCTTTGACGACTGAAGAAGTTTACAAACCCCATCAAGGTTTTCAATGTTTGTTTCACTTAAATCTGGTGAAGAAGATCTGTTGGAGTTTAACCAATTTAACAGAAGTGAATGTTGTTTTGGGAAACTGAAATACTGGATTTTCATTTCTGAATAGGTAAATAAAGTCAAAGATGTTAACCAGTGGCGAAAGGAATCAGAACTAACCATGGTTACTAATTCTCCAAAGATAAAACCAGCTGTAAACCATGCTCCTTTACATGCTGCATATTTTCCAATCCTGTAAGCAGACCACTTGTCTTTTGTTACAAGTTCCTTTGCTTTCTCAAGGGCAAGAATGTCATTTTTAATTAGGTATGACTCATCAAAATTGGAACTAGTATGCGGATGCAACAAAAGATAGTAGAGAATGTGTACATAGCAATCAAGAGAGGTGGACCCACACACGTCTTCAATCAGAAGTTTCACAACATTCTGAACTTGGATACTCAAAGGTCCAGTTTTCATTAGGTTTTTTAGACACAGATTGACCACTTTTGATATACGCACCACAAGCTTTGACATGAGATGACATGGCAAAATCAAAACTCCATCATCCTTGTTCAGTATGCGGTTGACAAAAAGATGGATTTCATTTAGAGCAAATTCATCAAGATTAGGGCATTTGTTTAGAAGGAGAAGGATGGTTTTGAGCAATCCTTTAATTTCCTGATCAATTTCCATGTCAGATTGAGAGTTCGCCAGCAAGGCGATCCGAGTCATGAGAAATGAGATAGCTTGGGATGCCATAGTTTTACTACCATCTTCATCATATGACATGGCTCTTCTTGTGAACTTTCCAGATATATCTGAGAGAGCATAAATGGAAAAGAGTCTGATAGATGACAATGGAGATTGCATCATAATCTCAACAACAGTTAATAGCTTGGTGAAAGAATCTTTCATTTCAGAACAACTGAAAGTT